TACTTTCTAGCAATGTCGTGTTGTCTTTTTTTTTGCACTTATTCAAACGGACTATTTTTCTGTTTTTGTGATTTGAATACAATATCGAACTATACCTATATGACATACTTTTGTATATTACAAAATCCAATCAAGATAAACAACAAAAGGAGAGAATAAGAAAGAGAAAATAAAAAATCATTGTAGCAGATGTTATTTTGCTATAGAGAATCAAATAACTTAATCTATATGAGAAAAAAAAAAGATTAGAATGTAAAACAAAAAAAGAAAATGAACAATTATCTTTAGTTAAAAAATCTTCAATCAGTAAAAAAATAGAAAAAGACAATTAAGCATCATTTGATTTTTGTTTTTCTTTATTATTCAGGGATCGTGATTAGATGAGAGGATCGTTATAAATGACGGCACGTATACATAGAAAAAAGAAAAGAAAAAAGAAGAGAAGAAAAAAAAAAAAAGTATTTTTCAATGGGCATAATACATGATCGAATGACAATAAGATAAGATATAGATGGCGTTTTTTCAAAAAACTTAAATTCTTCTTGTTAATTAGATCAGTTTTATAATAATTATATCAAATTTATACAATGAAATGTTTAATTTCAAATAGAATTATTCATTTAAAAGAATTTATCACGTGTCATCAAAATTTACAGATCAGAGTAAAATGTTAACTGATAAGAAGAAGAAGAAAAATAAAAATGTTCTAATTTTTATTCTTCATTCAAATAGAAACTGACAATCAATGTATTAAATGTTACTTAAAATTAATATTTTATCAAAATAACATCTAACTGTAGACTGATGAAAGAACAAAAAAACCATAGAGTAACGCGATTACTTTTTTTTCCTACTCTCAGCAACAACCTTTTTTTTTTTTTTGTTTTTTTACATTTGAAAAAGAAAATTCTCATATTATTGACATAAGATATTGTTTTTTTTTTATTGCTAGAAAAAACAAGTGATAGTCATGATTCAAAAACAACAAAACATAAAATGAAATGTTAATAGAAACCGTACTTATAATATTCGAGTATAGGACTGACTTTATGAATATTATTTGAATATAATTTATAAATATTAAAATTTATGTTTACTGAGAACATAGAAATTCATCAAAAAAAATGGTTTTCTTTTTTGTTATTATTATTAGTTTTTATTTGATGAATATTTTGTAACGATAATAAAATCAATGTTTATTAAATTATTACTAATCGATCAATAAATGAATCTTTTAGACAAGCAAATTACTCTGATACTAAGTTCTAGAGATATATTGCAAAATCAAAAAACAATTTTTGCATATATATATATATATATATATATATAGGTTTAATGACCCATAGAGTATTTTGAATATTTCAATAGAAAAGAATGTTTTTTTTTGTCAAGATATTGAGTTTTCAAGTGGAATCGATTTTTAATATCAATGTCTATATAAAAATATTTAGTTTTTTAGAAATTTGATACTTCAATAAAAGAATATTCGTATTGGCTGAAACTTTCAAGATATTATACGTATCATTAAACCTATATATAAGCATAATTTTAAGTCGGAATTTTTTTTTCTTGAGTTTTTAGTATGTCGTTTAAGTTATAGATCGATTATAACTTGACTGCTAACCGTTCATAGAGGAGAATCCTTGTGGACTTTTTCTAGATGTGCAAAATCTTCATGTAAGCCTAATACGAACTCAAATAGTGGATATCAGTTCGAATGTGTTTTTTTCTCGTCAGTTGAAGTACAAAGTTCTTCTTTCTACCTTTATTCATATACAAAATATTTTTATTATATTTCATTATTAAAGCTGTATATAACTTAATCTATATTTTATATGAATAGGAACATGCTCGATTTCATTTGTACTGGTAAGAACTTTAAATATTCTTAATCCTATATGGTATCCATTTTCATCATTATTTCTATTCATATTCTCCTATTACTTTATATGTCAAATAGATTTTATTTCAATGAACTCATATATATATATTATATATAAATTTAATATTTTATAGATTATATTTATTATTAATACAAAAGAATATTCTTTAAGAATATGTATATTAATGATTACTCTGATTTATTATTGATCTTTTTTGTCTCTATAGTATTAACCATAAAAATAACTAGTGAATTGTTATATGTATATCATCAACAAGATAATTATCATGTTTGTAGATCAAGTGATTAATCGATAAATAAATCCCAATTAAAAACAAGATAAAAAGAATTGTTTAAAATAAAAACCAAACAGAAAATATTCATTTAACTATAACAAGTTTCTTAATTGGAATATATAAAATATTTTTCAAAAAAAAAAGAAAAGTAAATTAATTCTTCAAAGATAAAAATCTATTCACAAGTTCAATATAATATTTTCTTATAATGTATAACTTCTATTACGAAAATAATTCTTTCTATAATATCAAATGAACAATAAACATAAATTTATTGAGATCAACTTTTTATTTTAGATAATTGTTTTAAATAAGATATTTAGTTACAACACATAATGTTTCTATTAATCATTATATAAACATTTTGTATAAAACAAAAGAGAGAAAAAAAAGAACATTCTCATGATTTTGCTCGTTTGTTTTATAGACGCCTACTATTTATTTATGTAAATGTAAAAAGGACATTATATGAGTGTATTGCAACATTATTGCGTTAGTCATAAAGAAAAACATTTCCTATTTTCAAGGTGATCAATAGTGTATTGTATTCAACTCCATTGAACCGAGACAAGAGAATAATTTTTTTTTTCAACTATCATGATTAATATGACCAAAATATTATGACAATCATATCAAGCCTATGGATACGACCTTTTCACATATATGACAAATCATTACCAAAATACAACATGTTTTTTCAAAATTCATTAAAAAAAAAAAACTTTGCTTACATGTCATAAGTTTTAACTACATCTTATGTTTTATGTTATACATTGAAGATAAGACATGATCTCAACAGAATGACTTTCATAATATTTGATAGTGTTTAAGTTAAAACTAAACTTATATATAACATATTTTGAATTTCATTGTGAAATATTATATACGTCAGTGGCGTAGCCAGGAATTTTTGAGTCATGGGCAATTCATCAGTCGAACTATTTTGAGTTACGGGTAGCTAAGGGCAACCATTATGATTTCAAAAATATCTATGGACAATAACTGTTCAAGCACTGCATAGCTCAATAAATAACTTTTGGAGCTATGGGCAATTGCCCAATGGCCCTATCCCTGGCTACGCCACTGATATACGTTATAGTTTCATGTGATGAATTAACATAGTTTGTTCTTTGTATTTTGAAGTATAAGTTTTCTTATGCTTGTTGTTAATATGATCGAAATTTACACTCAAACTACTATACTATAGAAGAATAACAAGCTAAGCAAAATAAAAAGTCTTGTGTGATAGGGAAATTTTCAAGTTTAGTTTCATAGTTTTCATAGACAAAAATAATACTCAATAGCAATTCGATTATTTTTGAATGGATTATTTAATCTTAAAATTTCTTTTAATCTCGTATGATAAAAAATTTGTTTTCTCGAGTTCTGTCAATTTTCAGAATGTGAATGACAAATAAAGAAATTGATTATACAATATATTTTAATATTATCTAGCTGTAAATATTGATCTTTTAGATCTTACCTGCTTAGTATATTAGAATTCATCTAAGGTAAATCCTTGATTTTTCTTCTATGGCAATGAAGACTTATTAAAAATATTCAATCTGAAATAGAATCATAAAACTTGATCGAAAACAAATGAAGATATTGAACTTTGCTTTTTTTTTTGCATATTAGAATATAGCGATATAATAAAGTTACAATTCATTCATATATACAAAGAACAATTTTCCTACGTTTCATATACTAAAAGAAGAAAATACTAAAACTTCACTGGGATAAATCGAAAATCTATCAAGCTTGGAAGGCGAGCTGATCCTTCTCCTACTCAGCACACTTCTTAATTAAATAGTGCTTATTACAAAAAATAAATACAAGTTGAATAATACCTGATCGAAAGGAAATATCCAACATTTCGAACGCTATGTTTCTATATTCATTGCATGTTCGTTTAGTAGAGTAAAAAAAAATATTCGAACTATCTCTTCGAATATTGGATCAAACCCATCTTGGTTGAAAAAATCAAGCAACTACTAGCAAAACACTTTTCAACTGGCCTCCTGAGTCATTGACCTTGGAATATACCTGATTCATATATGCATAATAACTTCTTGTCCTTATCATTATGTTCGCAATAAACTAATGATAGAATACTAGACATAAACGATTCTTTTTATTCAAGAAAAAAAAAACCATCAAGTAGCTGATATCCAACATAAATGTCTAACTAAACTAAATAATATAAATCATAAACAAGTTATAAAAAGTTCAAGAACAATTTTCTATATTTTTTTTTTGTCTATTAAGTCGTCAAGCAATTTGTTTGAAATATACAAAAAATAAACATAATTTTTTGTATTGATCTCGAAAAATTTTTTCGATGGATGAATTTTGTCTCATTTTATTTATAACCAATGAAACTTATGAAATAAAAAAGCGCCATCTAATCTTTTTGAATGATATATATATATGAAAATAAAATCATCAAATTCTAAATATCTTTTAAATTTTATTTTTATTACATTGAAAAAACAAAAAAATTAAATTTAATACAAAAAAAAAAGCACAATAATATACATTCTGTCTTTCTCATTCAAATTAATTTGATCATATGATTGGTTAGTGAACATGAGACAAAGACATAAGCGTAGATACCCCCTCCCCCCGTTGGAAAGAAATAATCTAACATAGTAATTTTTTTTTGTTTCTCATACAAGCATTCTTACAAATAGATCATATTATTTATTTCGAACTACAGAAAAAACAAAAACTAATTTTTCTATATATATTTTTTTTTTGTTTTAGGATCTTATTCTTCTATTCATATACATATATTCAAGTTCCTCTTAAATAATTCAATCATGTTAGCTGTCGCATCACTTAAACGTTCATTAGAATTCGATCCTGTTGAACAAGGTGTAAAAAGAAAACGAGCCGAAATGAAATTATCACCACCATCATCACCCATATCATCAACAACAACAACAACAACATTTACAACGAATTCTAATCCATTATCTCCATCAAAACAACAACAATCTATATTTAATTCATCACCAAATAAAAATCAATCATTAGTATTTAAAAAGCCCTGTTCGCTTACTGCTTTAACATCATCATCATCATCAACAACAGAAGATATTCCAATGTTTACATATACACAAGCTGCTCAAATGTGTGCTCGTCTTTTACGTGAACAAGATCGATCAATACGCGAACAGTATGAACAAATTCTATCAACTAAACTTACAGAACAATATGATACATTTGTAAGATATACACATGATAGTGTTCATAAAGATCAATCAAAACAACATCGACTTTTTCATTTTGGTCAACAACAAGAATCAAATAATAATCATAATAATAATACATCAACCGTTGCCTTTTCATATGTTTCATAAACATTGATGCAAAAAAAAAAATTTTTTTTATTTCATTTTCTCGCTCTCACACAGACATACATATTATACATACGATATTCTTTCGTTTTTCTTCTTTTTTTCTTTTTTTGGGCTCTCGATGTACTCTGTTTTCTTTTTTCATCTCTTATTTGAAAGTTCGTTGAACAATATCGCCATATGTTATAGTTAAGGAAAAGCATCTAACTTAAGTTTTCATTAATTTCTATGTGTGAGCGATTTTTTTTTTTTTTTGTAAGAAAACATTAAAAAAAACTATATATACGAACATGAATTGTATATGTCTCGTAAAAATATTCAAATGATCAATTAGAAGCATAGATTAAATTCTAAAACTTTCGCAAAAAAAAAGAAAGAGAAATCAGCATGGCTGTTCAACGATAAGATCTATGCATGTCAGAGATGTGTCAGTTATGTTTTTAATTAACAGTAGTTCTAAAACAGTATTATGTGATGTAAACAACTGCATGTCAATCGATCGTTTTACATCAATAAATAAGAATTAGATAACAGGAAGATTGAATATATACATATTTTTTCTTTTTGTTATATTCATGATGATTAAAAAAAAACTTACATACTATTTAAAAATTGAATGAATTACCAATGTGATACATGATTGTATCATTCTGTTCTTATTCAATTACGAAGATGAAAGCTTCAATATATTTTATATTTTTGTTTACATGATGTCTGAAATACATTGAGTAAACACTTATTATCATACTCTAAATATTTCAAGTTGATTGCTATTATTTTTCTTACTTTCCTAGTTATAAGAAATGTAACATTCTCCAATGGAAGCTGTCTTTTGTTTTGTTTTTCTTTTCATTATTGATGATTCTTTCCATTGAATACTATATCGGTATCTGAGTGCATATTTTCATTACACTTTGTAAAAAAAAAAGAGTACCCTTATCAGAGGCAACTACGTAAAACCAACATATCATTAAAGAACTACCACTTTATATATCGACAAAACAGATATCGAATATTTGTTTTTTTTGAGTTGAAAAAATTGAACTTTTCGTACTTATGAAATTAATAAACTAGTCGATACTTATTTTTTTCATGTCATAGATTACTTTTATAGTATAATACATAAGAATCTTTGTTTAAAATTATTTGTATAAATTTCGAAGTCATACTTTTGTCTTTGACTATGAATTTCAAATAGAATTGTGCTTAAAACTAATTATTTTATCTAACCAATGGTTTTGATTTTTCTATGATTTCAATATGTAGAACTGTAATTTTTATCAAAATGTAGATTCGTTTCTATATACTTATCTACTCAGAAAAATATCATTACTCTATGTCATAAGTTTGCTATATTAGATTAGATATAATAAGGATCATGTCTATTGATTTTGCTCAAAGATGATCATACACTTCACACAAAAAATAAATGGATATTATACTTCGTGTATTATTCTTTTTAATGACAAGACACTTTTTTCTAAAAAAAAAATATTTTAACAAAGTTTCATTTGCTATAATGCATATATTTTTACATCAGATGATATTAGGAAAAAAAACTAAATCATTGCTCTCTATGTATTGAATCAATATGAAGCTGTCATTGTTGATAAATCAATCAAATATTGCTAATTATTAGCTTTTGTTTTAGGTCATTGATAAGAGATTTGTTCATTTCTATGAATATATAATTAAATGTCTACTAATCAATGTTTTCTATCGGGGAATAGACTATTATAAATATATGTAAGAAATTTTCTTTTGTCTAACTTATTGCATCATAAAAACAAAGAAAGATAGAATAATTTATTTTATAATCATAACATCCAATCTATATCTATGCAAACATATTTTTTGTTCTGTTAATATTTCGAAATATTTTTGTTCTTTAATCTTTAAAATATCTATGATTGATTTGTTTAACCTTCATTGATATTGATCTTATAAGAGAAAATAATATCATGTATACTTTAAGATTACAAATATATACAGGAAATAAGCTAAATAGTTTATTTTTCTTCAATATAATATGTAAACAAGCTTATTTTAGATCTAATCTAATAAATAAATGATCATTATCTTGTCTAAGATAATTATTTACTCCAAAAATATGATATGAAAATTCTTTTTTTTTTTTTTTTTTATCTTCAAGCTAATCGCAGAAAATGAAATTGTCCATTAACAGTGTAAATAAATTGATCAACAGTTTATAATGTAACTAATCGACTTCTATACTCTGTTCTTTGTCAAAGACAAAAAAAAAGAAAAGAAAATATGTCCAATATCATATATATATATACAGAGAGCTAAATGACAATATAATAGTTCTTACTAGTAATGAATCATTTAAAATACATTTATTCGATTTCGAATTACTTTAATTTCATATTAGTAATTATATTTGATATAAAATAGATTATATTGTATTTTAAAAAAACAAAATTTATTTATAATATATTGAATATTATTTGCAAATATATAGCAATTGTATATCAATTAATCTTATTTTTATTCATATTAATATTTGATTTAACAAAAATTTAGTATAAATAACTGAAAATTTTTGATTTATACTTCGACTTAAAATAAATAAAAATTTTGTAACATAAAAACTCTAACTGATATTGATATTCATCATTCAAATTTATAAATATGTTTGAGACAAATTCATTCAAGTTTTAAATAGTTCATTAACCTTTCGAGTCGAATTATGATTGTTTAACTGAATTTATTTTTTGATTAAACATGAAAGATTTGCTTCAAAAATCATAAACACAAAATTTCAATGTGTAATTTTGCCTATAGGTAGAGATTAATAATTCATAACATATTTAGAAATAGTCAGGTGAAAAGAATGTTTCTATTTTTATCGACGTATTGAATAATCCAAGTACAGTACGTCGTTTTTTTTACACTGCCTGTAGCAAATAATTGTTCTTTTTTTTTTTTTTTCTTTCAAAATTTGATATTTCAACAACTAGTTTCATTAAAAGACTTTCTTATAAGATATAATATAAGTTCTATGAAAGAAATATCATTTTTAATAGTTCTCTCTCATAAAATTTGATTATTTTCATTAATTCTAACAAATATGATGTGTGACTTGTTTTTTATTCACTATCATCATTTTATTTCTCTCATCAACGAAAGAAATATTCTTGTTCAATCAATGTGTATATTACGCACGCGCACAAACAAAAGAAAAAACAAAAACAAGAACACAGAAATAATTTTTTCCTAATTTTTTTTTTTGAGTTACTTTTTTTTTTGTGTATGATCATCTATATTGTCATTCGACAACAAAAAAAAAAAATTAAATATCGAGATATAATTTTTTTTTTTTTTTTTTGTTTTTCCTCTCGATATTCATCTGTTCGAACAACAAAAGATAATGACTACACATACACACCAACAAACAGACATAAAAAAAAAAAGACAAGGAGCATGAATGAATGTATGAGAAGAAGAAGAAGAAGAAAAAAAATGAAATGAATGAAACAACAACAATCAAAACAAAACAAACCAAAATAATGGATGGGAAAACACAAGAACAAAATATACACACGCGCACGTGCGCATACACATTAAAGGGATACAAGCCCATGATGATGATAAAAACCAGAGAAACACATATATATATATATATATAAATATCAAGAATCGGATGTAGTCACCGGTGTTGATGATGCAAATTTATGGGTCTTCGTTGGAGCATGTATACGATGAAGTTGAACTAATTGTACAAGACCACATGATGATGGTGTTTGTTTTGTTGGTACTGATGATGATGGTGGTGGTGTTGATGGAATAACATATGATGGATGATGTGAAGGAAAAACGGGTGTTGTTGGAGAAAGAACAAATGTTGATGATGATTTAGTATAGATTTGATGTTGTTGTTGTTGTTGTTCGGTTTGTTCTTGTTTTGATATATCAATATCATGATTATTTATCGTCGATGATGGTGGTGGTGTTGGTGGTGTTGATATTAACATCATTTGTTGTGATGTTGATATTGAATTAGTTGATGATAATGGTGGTGGTGATGATGGTGATGGTGGTTGTGGTTCAGTTAATGTTGATAAAGTTTGATTAATATGACGTGATGAACATGAATATGGATGATCAAGTTCAATAGAAAATGATGATGGATTTTTATCATTCGTATTTAACGTTAATGTATTATTTATATCATATGATGAATTATTTAAATAAATCGACGAATTATTTGATGATTTCGATTGATAATGATGTGCTAATGACATCGTATGATTATTAACAGTTAAATATGAATGAAGACGATAGGATTCTTTAAGTAATGGTCGAGATGAAAGACGCCATAACACGGGTCTAAAATATATTCTAAATAAAAGAAAACCAAAAAAAAAAAAAAACAAATTATACTTACTTTTGATTTAATACATACTTGTCTGTGATATGTGATGATAAAAATGTTTCATCTGTTAAATCTTTATTTTCCTGTTCAATATGACGATCATAAAGTAGTCTAAAATAATTTCGATGTTAAACAATTAATAACAAGAGAAACAAAAAAGAAAAAGAAAAGATTTTATATATACCTTCCGCCCCGTCCTAACCGCACACGTCGTTTGCCAATATGGCCTCGTTCAGAACAAGCCACATAATAAAACGATGAAAACGTTGAACGTCGAGGTAACGTATGCTGTTGTTGATCTTGGTCAATTGGCTAGAGTATAAATATAAAAGAAAAAATTGAAATGAGCAAAAATAAAATTTGACAAATATACCCTTAGATATCTACATCCAACTTTAGGCCGAAATTGCCAAGGATCAATAGATTCATCATCATCAATACTCGTTCCTATTCCATCAAATGAATTATTTATATTCTCATTTGAAGTTGACAATATAGATGAACCATCTTGCAAAATAACACGACGATTTATGTTATTTTCAAGCTCCTAGAAAAAAAAAATAATATATTTATTTATATTAAAACTTTTTTTTTTTTTTTTTTTTTT